ATTCAAAAACATATTTAAAAAATTTGAAAGACATTTCCATATTTCACAGTCAAAGTTTTGAGTATCAACCAAATGATGTAATGGCTGCTCATCATTTTCGTAATGTCCGAGATTTCAAATTGAATTTATTTATCAACCATCATTACATACGTGCACAGATTTTGTCATGTTGAATTACAATCTGTATTCCAACATAAACAATTTAAAGAAAATTAACTTTTACTTAGACTGAATTAGTGCAGATGGGCAGATAAAAGGCAAAACCACCTAGATGTAAGAACATCTGTATGTGTTGATTTCCTTACTCTAGTCAAGTGCACTAGTGCTGAAAACATCAATATCCAAGCTAAGCCAAAAATTGGTCACAGTAAGTAAAAAGGTTGCATGAATGTTTTTACATTACATGTTTTCGAATTTTTCACAATTTTTTATCACATACTCTTTACATAGTTTAGTGAAACTAGACTGATTTACAATATTTCTAATTTCCATTGGCAACAGATTATAAAACTTAATTCCTATATCATTTATAAATTTTAGATTAAATGTGGTTTTAGGTTGAGGTATTAGCTTTGTTCTTGTTCAATCTAGTAGAGTGGGAATGTTGTACAAAAATTTTTAATTTACTATTTTTATGAATAAATGAACTATAAAGGAATATGTATAAACTTTTTACATTATGTATATCATCCTGGTATAACAACTTTGTCGGATACATTCTGTCTTTTTTAGACATTACATTAAGTATATAATTCTGAACTATGAGCAGAGGTTCCAAACTACAGCCATCAGATCCTCCCCAGGCCATTAAGCGATTTCTAATAAGGGCTCGACCAATGCTTTATACACTATTTTAATAAGATTAAAACTTACGAACTCTCGCAGTATATAAAATTTACATATCAATTTTCTGATCCTAGTTAAATATTCAATATGATTTGCTCATTTTAAGTGCTTGTCAATCATAATACCTAAGTATTTTGTATTTTCTACCCCTTTTAATTATAATATTTTCTCCTCATCTACTAATATTTTATCAAAGTCCGGACGGTTTGCTTCAGTTAGTGAAAAGGCAATATATATTTACCTAAAACTATTTAACCAATTATGCACTTTGCTGAAACCCTGTTTTACAATATTTTTTAAGTTGTTCCAATTACTGCCAGAGAAAATCATTACAGTATCATCAGGGTATCCCTGAATATCAATGCTCAACATAGAATTAATATAAGTGAGGAAAAGAATAGGGCCCAAGTCAGTTCCTTGTGGGACCCCAGTTTTAATTTTTAAAGGATCTCTAATCGTATTTTCTAAAAGTATTTTCAAATACTGATCTCTATCAAGCAGATAATTCTTAAAAACTTCCAATATAGAGATATTATATAGTAAATAATAATAAAGTTATATAAAGAACCGTTTAAATATTATTCATTATTATCATATCAAGAAGAAAAACCAGTTTTTTCTAAATCTTCTTTTTCTTTAGTGCCGTCTCTATTCTTACTTTAATTGCCGTTATTCTGAAAAGTTCTATTGAGTTACAATCAAACCAATCCCTCAAATTTCTCAACTATGAAATTCTTCTTCTTCCAATTGTCTTTCCTTGTATGGTGAATCTGAGCATCTTGTACCGCTGTCCTCTCACTATGTGCCTCAGGTATTATAATTTATATGCCTTTATCGTGTTAATTACTTGATATTCTTTACCCATTTCTTGAAGTATCCATGTTTGTTCTTCTTTCTGTCCATGATATCCTGATCATCCTTATGTAACACCACATTTCAAACGACTGCAGCTTCCTTATGAGCTCCTGTTTAAGCGTCCAGCATTCCAATCCAACACATAGCACCTTAATGTTCTGACTATTAGTTTTATTGTGAGGCTCTGGAACAGAGGATTATTTTCTTATATTATTTCTTCCAAATATTTTATGGAAAAAAAATCCACATGATCCCATAAAGATGATTGAACATATATAGTCCTATATGCAATTGTTTGAAGTTCAAAGGCAGCACCATTTTTGACTACACGATATCTAAATCAATTGGTAACGGAAGAAATTTCAACTAATCCATTAGCAGCAAATTATATGTTAATTCAATGTTATGTCGATGATTTACTTTGTGGTGCAAATTTTAAGGATATCGTTATAGAGTAGAAAGCTCAATTGATTGCGATGTTGCGGTCAGGAGGATTTTCGTTGCATAAGTGGATGTGAACTGATTTACCTATTTTAGATTCAGACGAGGGTTATAATTATGGCAAATAATTGTATGTCAACTCGGAGGATGGGAAAGTGTTGGGTATGGTGTAGCAACCAGGTCAGGATGCATTTAGAATTGAATCCCAAATATTAAAATAACTTTTTAGAAAATAACTAAGCGACTTGCTTTTGCTTTTGCATTAGGGGAGGTTTATTAAAAATATTGAGTTTAGTTAGTAATTTTTACTTTTTAATAGCCTAATCTTTTATCAGATTTATTCAAGCCTAAATAATGACAAGATTGACATTGATTGTCTCTGTTTTTCCAATCGAAATTTTATTTTAAACACATCTCTTGTTCAGTCTTAACACAAACTAACGAGTCATCCTTTGACTCATTTAGCAATTACCTGGAATAACAAGTTATGCATAACGATCACCCTATCCCAGGTGGAACATTAAAAACTTCCACCATTAAGTATCAAGCCATCAATGCAATTAAGAGTCATATATACGTGCGTATGTGTTGATTATATGTTATTACTCGCAAGGAATGTTGTCACTACTAAAAGTATTTTTATATCAACATTGAACCAAAACGGACTTCCAATAAATAAATCTACTCTTAAGTGTTACACGGAAATTTGCGTGCGGTTTTGTTCAATGCTGCACAGGTGCTGTACCCGACTGCCATTGTTTATTACTGTTTCATTGAACAAGTTTCTAAACGAACACAATAATAGTTCCTATTAAAGATAATAAATACAAGATAAAAACGCTAGGCATTTCTGTTTCAGCTTGTTCGCATGCCATCCTAGATAATCGTTGGAAGATCGCAATCGTTGCCGTTTCGCAATTTAAAGGTGTCGTGTGTCACCTTAAACTACTTTAAGTCATGACCCTCTTTATAACATACGGGTTACATTCACGATGTATTTATTCATAATGAATGATATACCGGGTGTCAATTTGAAAACTTCCCTCCCTTAATATCTTTCTTGCAGTTGAAAATACGAAAAATCGGAAAGACCCGTCAATTTTATTTGTAAGGGGGATACTTTAAATTAATATTTTTAGTCTCTGTGTTTCAACTCCCTAGGAAGGGTAGATGTCACCCTTAGAATCGTAAATGGAAAGGGAGGTCAAGTGGTACATCGTTTCAAAGGGCGTTCAATTCTCTTTACATTAGTTATTAGTTATACTTTGTTGCAATACAAATGATTTGAAAAGTAGGTTACAGTGTTAAAATCGTTGATAAACAGGAAAAAAATTTAGTTTAAACATCGATTTTGGATTTATTGATTATTTTACTTTGAGAATAATCACTTTTTATTTACGGAGGAAAAATTTTAACAATAAAATCGATGGTCTCTACTTACGCAGTATCTTTTAAATTGCTAAATATGTCTATTTTGCGGTAAGCAATAATAAAGTCTATTTTCGAACCCGCCCTAATTGAATGGCCTCCAACATCACCGGATTAGACTTCTTTCTTTCAACCCTTCGACTTCTTTCTTTGGAGACGTCTTTGGTTAAGTCCATTGTTTATAAAACACAATCTGCTGATAGTGCTGATTTTATGATCTTAAAAGGCGACTTGCAGCAGAATGCCGGCCAAGTTGAGATGTAGGGGTCAATTTACTAATCAAACTTTAAATTAACACTTTCTAATAACTAGAGAATTCGTCCCAATACAAATATCGCTTCTATAGCAGCAAAATGGCATCAAAGGTAAACAATTTTTTCAAACTCCAATGATTCCAACTCCAACATGAAGGCATTCAATGTTAATAAGTTGTTAGCGACCACAAGTAGCTAAAGCAGCAATTATTCAGCTATATGTATGTTTTAACGGCTTTTGCAATCTTTAAACAAAGGAAGATAGTAAGATTTTGATCTCTCATTATATAAAATTGACAGATATTCTCGAAGTTGATCGGATATATATTTTGTCACAATTTCAGCAATTTGTGATGCAAATCAGTGTTACCAAGTGCCATGATACTTTGAAGCTGTTTAATTCACACCGACGTGCTTAAAGAAAACGCTTTATGTAAACTGCAAAAAAATAATATCAGACTACAATAGAAAATCTTTAGGTATTCTGCTGTCTAACAGCGTTAACTTTTCGTGTCAAAAGATCTTATTTAAATAATTTGCTAAGTTAAAATAATATCAATGCATTATTTGGTTTTTGATATAATGAACAAATTATAACCTGTTCAAAAATTGAACAGAGGGCCCATGTCACACTGTCTTGATATAGATACAAGCATTATGAAACAAACACGGCTCATATATGATTCGAGTTACTACTAGAATTACATGAGTTACTAGTACCGACGAGTTTTGCAGCGCTTATAAGCTATTCGGAATACCTTATAAAAACATCTGTTGCATGAAACAGACATTTAAAAATAATATTATTGTTTATTAATTGTTGTTGTATACGTTACAAGTTATGAGAAGTTGCTTTTATGAAGAATGAAGGCTATATTACATATGAAATCAACAAACATTTTGTAAAAGAGAGAGATTTTAGAGAGAGGGTATATTTAATGTAGTTTATTTATAACATTTAGAGCCGGTGTTGAGATTTATAGCCGATTTATCTAAAGCTCAATAAATGATCTGTGTAAGTGTTTCCAAATATAATTTATTCGGATTTTTCACTTCATCTTTTTAGTACCATATAATGAATATTTACCCACTATTGATCTATGGAATTAGTTTAGAAGTTTAATGAACTAAGTATAGAGCATACAATGCAAATATATAAATTCCCGTTTTGCTCAAGGTGTCCTAAAGATGTTTCACATTTTTAGTTTTAAGTAATTTATAATATACAAAATGGGACAACGGGATACTAAAGTTAAAGGATTTATTTATTTCGCAGCAATTTCCAGTAAGTAATAATTAACTACTTTTAATATCAGTATCAAAATATTAGTTTTATTCAGCCTTAAGTTATATTAACTAAAAATTCTGATTTATTTTCCAGACTGCGTGTACTTGTTATGATATTCCTATCCTTCCTGGGTTTCAGTCAAAGTACGAAGTAAAAATTTTTGAAACATCGTTTATTTCATTACGTTTCGGCGAGACAACAGCGCCATCATCAGATTTAAAATTTTACATAAACTACAAACACTAATTCACAATTAAAACGTGTTGTATAAAATTTATAATTTACAAAGTGTTAAAACATTCCTCAGTTTTTGAGGAAAAAAAAAATGTTTTCTTCCTTCTGGGAGAGCAAAACATCGGAAAAAATTACCTCATGAAATGAAGCCTTCTTGAAAAGCTTGAGKTTGTCTGAATTATTTTCTACATTGGCGAGAGTGGTATGCATGTATTGAGATAAGCAGAAATAGTTTTAATTTTTCACTATTGTACCGGGTGTTCCATACTTATGGCTTTATTAGGGTTTGGTAAATGTTGCTAAGGTTGTCGGTATCTGATCTGAAATTTACTGCTTTTGCATGTTTTTTTATTTGTATCATTTCTTGGATTTTTCTTTTATGATAATTTGTTTCCCTAATTAATATATCTGCGTTGTCAAAATCAAAATTATGTAACATTTAGTGTGCATGTTGTGTTAATGCTGTTTTATTTTCACTAGTATTTTTCAGACTGTATTTAGTTTGTCCTATATATGTATTATCACATTCTAAACAATTCACTCTATATACAGTATTTGGTATATCCATTTTGTCATTTTTGCTCTCCCAGAAGGAAGAAAAAAATTTTCTTCCCTCAAAAACTGATGAATGTTTTAACACTTTGTAAATTATAAATTTTATGCAACATGTTTTAATTGTGAATTGGTGTTTGTAGTTTATGTTAAATTTTAAATCTGATGGTGGTGCTGGTGTCTCGCCGAAACGTAATAAAATAAACAATGTTTCAAAAATGTTTACTTCACACTTTGACTGAAACCCAGGAAGGATAGGAATATCATATTAACTAAAAATAAAGGTTGTAAATAGTATATATATAAGTAAAAAATTAAAATATGACTTTCAAATTTATACGAATAATTTCCGTGCTTACTTTTAAACTGCAAACTTTCATGCATTGTTCTTTAAAGTGTGTACACGTATCTCAAAACTTAAAAAATAATTAGCTTCTTCACAAATATGCGAGATATTGAGGATAGTTGTTTGATACGGATAATTTTTATACCAATTTTCCTTCAGAAAAAGGGAACCATTTGGTATATATAGGGTGTCCCGTAAGCATGGGATTTTTCCGCAGATTTGCACGGATGGAAAGTTTGTATCACTTGATTTTGAAGGAAGACTTTAATTTTCTCGATGATAAAATAAAAATCTGCGACTCATCATTAATTAATACTAAAAGTGTATCTTATTGAGTGTTGTAGGGACAAAATTGAGACATGAGTTAACAATCAATACCTAGCCCAGAACTTAAAAGAAACTAATCATTTATTACAAAAGTGAGAATTGTAATTGTTAACAATTACATGTTACGTTCAATACAAATTACAAATTACAGATTAAAAAAAATACAAAAGATGATCGATATGTCCGTCATTTTCTTTGATGCATAGTTGAATCCTTCAATTGAAATTGATTTGGACCTTTCTTAAATTTTCTGGATCATCACGCATTATCTTCATCTCGTTTTGAATTCTCCATAATATGTCTTGATGGGATTCCACAGGAGTGTCGTAAACTTTATCCTTTAAGGCTCCCCACAAGAAATCTAATGTCGATAAGTCGAGGGACCTAGGAGGCCATTCGAGAGGAACATTTATCCCTCTTCTTCCTATCCACTTGTGTGGAAAGCTATTACTTACATGGGCCGTTACAACAGCACTAAAATGCCGAAGAGCACCATCATAAATCAGCTACATCTGAAGACGAAGATCGAGGGGCAAATCTTCCATTAGAACCGGAAAAGTGTTCTTCAAGAAATGTGGATTATTTTCGCCGTTCAAGCAGCTCGGCATGATATAAGACCTAAGGAAGTTGTTACCGATGATTCCGTCCCCATTAATTCGAAATTTCGCCTGAAAGAGATTAATATGCCTCGCATGAGGGGTTTCTTCTGCGTAATAGTGGAAATCATGAGAATTGGAAATACCACTTCTGGTAAAACCGGCTCAATCAGTGAACAAAACTCTACTTGTTGAGTTTGGGTCACGTGTCCGAGCAGCTTCAATAAAGAGTCAAAATTCTAGCAGAAAGTCTTTTCCCAAAATCAAGGGGTAAAAGTCTCTGAACAGGTGTCGCATGATAAGGATAGAGGAGCTGCTGCCGTACGATCCGATAACTGTACTTTTTGGTATGTCAAATTCAAATGCCGGACGGAAAGTACTAAGGTTTGGATTTTCAGCAATCCTAGTTAAAACGTTTTTCTCAGCGATACCAAGTAGTCCAGTCTCTCGCAAAGTCTTTTCAATCCGTGCAAATGTCCGGTAATCTGGAACGTGTCGATTTGGGTATCGCGCCGCGTAAACGCGTACGCTTTCACGCAAGTTGTCTTCGCAAAACCCCAATACTTGTCGGTTATTTCTTCGACCATGTCCGTCATTTCTTCATTAGAAAACGCCACTGTGAGATTGATTGACAAACGTTAAATGTTTGATAATTCATTTATCCGCGCCCATCACTATATTTGCAGTAAAATCGCAAAAACTATAAGTGCTACAAGATTTTACAATCATCACAAAATGTGAGTAAATGATCGATGCATCAGATGAAAGAAAAATAGTTGATTTCATTCTCCAAATAAAAAGTTCTGGTTGTTTTTGTATCAAGACATTCAAGGATTCAGCACTGGTCCAAAACGGATAAAGTCGATTGTTTTATCAAAATATGAGTATCAAATCACAACAAATACAGACAGCCAGACATTTTTTATGAATAAAAGTTAAGCCAGATCGTCTTCTTTTGATTCAAACAATATCGCAGTACTTTTTTGATTATGTGCTTACGGAACACCCTGTATACATTAGTGTTAATATTACAAATAATGTAAGTTTCCTACAATAGTTGGATATAATAAGAAAATAAAATTTATTTTAGCTTCATTAACAACTTTTTCAACTGGTGTATGCTTCGTTTGGACATCCCCAATTATCCCGAAGTTTCAGTCTGAAGATGTAGAACTAAATCCGATCGGAAGGCCGGTAACAATAACGGAGTCAGCTTGGATAGTTGCAGCTATGACTTTGGGATTGATGATCGGGCCAATTTTAGCAGTATTAGCTTTAAGGTTCAGCACTAAGAAAACGGTTTTATTATTAGCAGTCGGACCTATATTATTTGGACACATTACTTGCATTTTTGCCAATAAAGCAAATTTGTTCATATTTGCTAGGATCTTAATGGGAATTGGCTCGGGAGCTGTCTGGTCTGTTCTTGGTACATTTATCGCTGAAATAGCTGAAAACAAAAATCGAGGTTTCCTAGGAAGTTTTCCTGGGATAGCATCAAATATTGGAAGCTTGAGTGTGTACGTTATTGGTCCTTATACGAAAATATGGCAATTCAGCATTGTGCAAATTGTTCCGATCATATTATTTTGCATGACTTTTGGCTTTCTTGTTCCCGATAGTCCATACGACTTAATCGTCAGGGGAAAATCTGACCTAGCCGAAAAGAGCTTGAAGAAGCTAAGACAAACCGATAAGGTGGGAAAAGAGTTACTATTTGTGCAGGAAACAGTGCAACGGGGAAACGAATGTAAAATACAATTTGCTGAGTTGATTAAAGATCGTGGTTTCCGTAAAGGACTAACTATTAGCACGACTTTAATGATATTCCAACAACTTACTGGAATTTTAGCAGTCGTCAGTTACGCAGAAACAATATTTAGACTTGCTGGCGATTTTATTCCGCCCTCAATTTCTCCCATGATTCTCGGTGTTGTTGCTACCACTAGTCAGTTGATCAGTTCTAAACTCATAGATAAAATGGGAAGAAAAATGTTATTTTCAGGTGCCTGTATATCAGAAGCTATATCTTTGTTTGCATTGGGTTTCTATTTTTTCCGGTTGAACCATGGACTAGACGTATCTGCGATTTCTTGGGTGCCTATTGCGAGTTTAGCTATTTTTATGTTTTCCTTCAATTCCGGTCTAGGGAATATCCCCTGGATTGTTACAGGAGAAATATTTAGCTCTAAAGTGAAACCCATTGCTTCTACTATAACGGCGTTAAGCAATTTCATTGTTTCGTTCCTGATAGTTATATGCTTTCCATATATGATTGAATACTTTGGGATGGGTCCTACTTTTTGGTTTTTTGGTAGCTGCATGGTTCTAGGAGCGATTGTCTGTATCTGGCTTTTACCGGAAACCAAAGGAAAAAGTTTTTTGGAAATTCAAGATTTGTTGAAAAATTAATGTTAATAGAATCAGGGTTTTAAATGAATATTTTTATTAAAGGACTGATAAGACTTAAAAACACGCATCACTGTTATGACAATAGAAATAGCTTTAACTAGGAGATGTGTGATTTGTTAATAAATAGTATTTTAGTTTATAATCATAACTTTAATAAATAGTAAGTATTTCCCAAAATTAACCCAAGAGTCGAATTAAATAGAAAACATAGTTTTTAGACTTTAGATTGTTATAAATTTTATAACTTTAGAATCAGAAAGTATATAGGATAGGGTTATTTATGCAATAACACCCATGACCATCCGGCATAAATGTGCCTGGATTTCGCTAATAGGCACAGCGTTTAATTTATCAATATCAGCACCAACTGAAAAACTGCATTAACAGAAGTATATTACAGACTCAATCTATTGACATCATTAACAAAGAGATCTCACAGCAAATTCCAGATATGGCACAAAAAGTGGCAGGTAAAAATTAAAAGAAGATACATATACTTTCTAAAGAAACTATAGACCTTATTCAGAAACGCAAGTCAGTAAACGTTACAAAATGGAAAGAGTTAGAAAATGCTAGAAAGATAATTTTGCAGTCGAGTTCACATTACAAAACTTTTAAACGAGAATAACCGATGTTAATGTGACTCCGATGAATCACAAGAACGGAAGAAATAAAAAGAATAACAGAATACTTCTATCGATCTCTATACATATAAAAGCAAAGTCGCTCCACCGCCAGGTGAATCAAACGAAAAACGAAAAAAGATACTTAATGTGGGCTCCGAAGAAATCCCAGATTCAACCAGTGGAGAGATTAAAACAGCTATGTCAAAAATGTCAAAGGGAAAATTGTCAAAGAGAGAGAGGAAGAACAGGAGAAGATGGGATCATATTGAAAATGTCGATAAACGGAGGAATATTTTTAAATTTTATTTTAGTTTAATATAATTGCATGATTTTGCAATATAAACAAGTACGCCGTATTTGAATCTTCCAAGGATTGTAAAAATCAACAGACAAGTGAATGTTTTGTTGAGGCGTTTTGAAAAATTTTGAATATAAAAGCAAAATTTAGCCTAAACTATATTCCTTGGATAGGCTATATCCTTTATTTGCTTTTGCATTCATCATATAGATTATGAGTTGTTTGTAGTTTAAACTAATTTTTATGGATTTAAGCTCGTTTTGTTTGCAAGCCGTAGCTCTGCTGTCGAAATCAAGGTGATTAAATGTTTTCTGTTCTTTAGAAAATATAGTATACACAGTATGTATTTGTTTCCATATAAGTACAACGTACAGTCGCAATAAGTTCAGGTCTAAATAAGTACAATTGTAACAAGACATGTGCACTAAAACAATATCGGCGAAATCGCTTCCACTGGCAAAAAACTGGCATATGACAATACCTGAATAGGAAATGCGATCATAATTGATGTAAAATTTAGGGCAGTATAATTTCCTGGTTGTTCCAACGGCACCCGTATTGACTATAAGGAGCAGAGAATTAATTAACCGATTACAGCAAAAAAATCAAAGAACTTGGACGATGGATTATTGTGGCGTCGACAGCCGCCTCGTTTGTACACACCGCCAAATATACAATCATAATTATTAACTGTTGCTTTTAATTAAATCCATAAGCGTCATTTCCCTTATGTTGTCCGTGTTCGGCATAATTGAAAGCATATAGGAAAATTATTCATGTTTTCGATTGCAAACTTTCAATAAATAAATTGAAATTTCAATTTAATGTATCCACTTTCATCAAATTCATTAAAATACGTGGAAGTCTAACCAATATAAGTTCTGATATTGGTGCATAACCGCAATATTTTGATGCTGAATTACATTGTTACATTGACCAAGCATTTAACAGGTGGTACTAATTGTTCAACCGTCAATTTTTACGTTTTTTGTTGCTTAAAAGGCAAGAATAACAACGGGCAAAACAAATTACAAGTAAGTGCAGCAAAAAAGTAAGTGCATTGCACACCAAGTGAGTGCCAATTTTAGTTATTTTGTTAGTTCTTTTTCAAGTATATGTTTAAATGAAAAAGAAAAAATGAATGAAAATAATGAAACCAGTCCTCAGCGACAACTAAGTGTTTAACAGCAAGTATTCCAGTAGACGACCAATTGAAATCTGCAAGGAATTGGTCAGTGTAGAATTTCGCAAATCTCCACTGCAACAATAATCATGTTTCAAAAAATACGTTTTTAAAACGATACTAATTTTTGTCCCACACCGGCATTGTTAAGCAAAATTTTCCGAATCTATAGTTAGATTAGGGATTAGAATCTATAAAAATGTTTTCATGAAACGCTGACAATCATGATATATAATTTTTTTAAGACGATTTTATCTCATGTTTGGCTACTTATTTCACTGTATTCAAACAAAAAAGATCCAAATTTATCAAATGAGGACTTGTAGTTCTAACAGACCCCATCCATCTCTTTATACTGCAGACGTTAGAAGGGTCAATACAATACTTTGACTATTTTTAATAGTAGACTACAAATATATTCTCTATAAGAATAAACGTAATAAAATTGAATACGTTAAATATCGCTTCCAAAAGATTGTTAAAAATAGTTCCGAAACATTACATTAAAAAAAATTTCAACATTCGTTAAGTGTGACGTGCCGCGGAGTAAATTTATTTTTTGTAATTCCTTTTTCCGCCATAAACACCCCTCGCATTCACCCTTAAACTAAYGGTGCGCGGTGGCGGTCAGTGCGTCCGGGTTCGAGGGTGGTGCGGGGGTGCGGTCGGGAAAAAGGGATCGTACGGTCAGTCCTGTGAACCAGTCCCCATCCAGTCCCGAAGGAAACGCGTACGGAGACAGTCCAGGGTACTCAAAAAAAAAAGGCTACCTACGCCACGCCACGCCATTTTCTTTTTTTTTTKAAGKGCTAGATTTCAAGGAAATCCAGTTTTTTCCGGAGCATCCTTGCTCCTTGATCCCCCGGGAAACCGGTGAACCCACCGCGAGACTATTGTGCGCGCCCAGAGACAAGACTATGTGCCCGCCGCGGTACGTTGGACCATTGTGCGCGCCACAGGTACCCGAGCCATAGACTCCCGTAATTTTAGTTTATTTTTCATATTCTTAATTGTATTTGGTTGCTGTTCCGTTTGTCCGTTGTTGTTTTTTTTTTGTTTTGTTTGCTTTTATTCTTGGTAGTTTACATTGCGCGCAGAATCGCGCGCAAGCAGGGGGGTACTACCCAAAAGAAGTACCTGGCATCCCGTCACGTGGGAAAACCCCACGGTATCCATTAAATTTTGTGCGTTGGAATTGGGTTCTTTTTTTTTGTGTGCGCATCCACTATTCCATCGCTCAAAATGCAGGGACAGGGTCGCGATTCCCATTCCGGTAGAGAGACTCCGGAAATGCCCTCCGCTCGCAACTCGAGCGAATGGAGGGGGGATCTGCGCCACAAGTGAAACATATCTTATTGGAAATGTGCTATGTTTACTGTATTTAATTGCACACGTTATGATGTTAGAGAACTTTATACAGTATGTTCCAAATTTATTACATTTTTATAGCAAACCAAATTTTGTATGGAGTATTGTTAATTTTTGTTAATAATTTTGTTAATAACAGGAATTCGTCGAAGATGATCCGGACAGAAGACATTTGCGGGAAAATCATAAAGTTATGAGACAGAAATGTTGTTATAGAGCAGAACAAACCCACCTTGGATTGAGGAAAGTTCAGTCACTATCCAGAAAATTCAATGTTTGGGCAGTGATTGTTTGGTGTATGTTGGCACCAATTTTTGCTAGATGGAACAATCAGATGGATTTTCTTCCAAAAAGAACACTTCTTTGGAGCGAGATATTTATAATTATTTCAGAAAGAGGTAGTTTCTAATTTGGCTGCTCTGTCCTCATCCGGACGAAACCGATGTCCCGTAAACATCTCATTTCAACAAGACGGTAGGTACGCCTGCTCTTTATTATTTTTTTTTGTTCGCCCGGCGGCGGATGTAGGATAAAAAATCTTCTCGAAGACACCCAGTGTCCCGTGACACCCGGTAGTGTTGGATTTCTACCAACTAAAAATCCCCCGTTTTTTGACTGCAAGTTTCCGGGAGTTATCCTTTAAAACTTGTGGTCTTCTGTAAGAATGGTTCAGCTCTGGCATCTGTATGCCTTCACCTCTCATTCTCTCCATGCTAGCTAACTGCTAGAATGGGCATCTTAGTAATTTGACACAAGCATTACACTACTCAATACTACTTCTATCACATTATCTTAAATGCTGTTTATGCAAAATCTGTCCGACTTTCTTTCTCCCATGTATTTTAAACCATTATATTCCCCCACTCTTTTCATCAGGGTTTTCAGATCTATTGAAAGACTGAGAGAGATTGACGCCATCTAATGACTTCATGTGCAATTCTGTGCAACTAATTAGGGATAGTGAAGAGGTAAACCTGCGACAGAGACAGAGTCAACTGTTAGTAGCTACTAACTTCCTACCACTCTGCCGAAGTATATGACCAGCAGTTCAGGAAGCAAGCCCTGATGGTAAATAGTATTAAATGGAATAGATATAAATTCTCCTGGTTCCAACACGATCAAGAATCGATATGATAAAAAATCAGAACGGGTATTCTTATTGCTCCTTTGTAAGACAGAAAGAACTACCTTTCTTCTGTTCTCTCAGGATGACGTCTAAAAAATCCAATTATATGTACTATCGCTCTCTCCCTCTCTGCTGCTTACACATCCAGATTCTCTAGAAGTTTTAATTAAAAAATAGAGCGGCAACCATGCAATTACGCATTTGAAAAATATGACTTAAGTGTTAAACAAGTTTTTGATGCAGGTAAGTTTTGAGAAAAGCTTAGTTATGCATATGAGCATCACCCACAACTGGTGCTTAAGAATACATTCTGGCTGGGTGCCTACACTAACACTTTCCTAACATATGCCGTAGTAACTATCGTGTCCTCATCCATTCTAATCTTTAAAGGAGGTACAGATGACATAACTTATCAGTATCTCGAAACTCGTCAATAAGTAGTTGTAGTATATTGTAGAGGTATGTATAAAGGTCACAATCGTCCTTATTTGTATTCTGCTAAATTTCATTGCTGCTAAATAATTTTCAATATTCATTATGAATGGCCTCGCCATGGAACGTCTTCGTATTTTTTTAGTAAGTTCTCCGATACATTTCGTCTGTTTTGGTAACCTACGCATATCTTGTAAGACTAGCGAGTGAACCCAATGTTCAACCCTCCTTCCTTGTACGGGCCTGGATCAGCCGTAATTCATAACCTGTTACTTAGTTCACCTACTCGTTCTTCTAAGCGGGGTTTTTATATGAGTGAGTGAGTGAGTCAGTAAAAATTTGCAGCACCATTGTAATAGAGACAAATAAAGAAGAGCAAAAAGCATGGAGACTTTAGAATTTCTCAACAGCAGCAGAAGGAAAAGCAAGATGGGAAGACTCTGAAATAAAAACTGAGATGTTTGCAAAAAACTAGGTCAGAAGGATGACAGCAATGTTTTTCAAGGTAATCTGCCTCATTAACATTACGTCAACACCTGTTGCTTCTTAATGATTAAAACCTGTCTCCATGGGTAAACAAAAAGCAAAGAAAGTGAAAGTGACAATGCAATAAATATTTTTAGGTTAAGATAACGTAGTTACTTTGCGGTTAGTGCTGCCAACCTTTTTAGGGCAAATGATTGATATCCCTAAATCTGTAATAGATGGCAACAAAATCCACCTGTTAAAGGTGCTGTATTAATGATCTACAGGGTAATTCAAAATTGACATCATTTATCTGGAGATGTTATCTCCAGATAAATGATGACAAACACCACGTCGGCGGTGAGGAAAGGGTTTTAGTAGGTAAACAGCGAAGCTGGAGACCCACACAGCCCAGAGTGCCACATCATCAGCTCTGGGAGTGCGTAAGAGAGCATTTCCCAAATCTCACCGGAAAAAAGGTGAAAATGAAAAAATACCCCCCATTTTTCATTGATGATTCGCCGATCGATAGAATTCAATGTTGGTCCCAAACACATCGGGATTTATGAATGACTAGCTTGGTCTATTTATTAATGTCTTTGGTCGAAGCCGATCGATCTTACGGCATTTCCGTAGCGGCCCGTCTCCCGGCCGAGCGTTTCGTGTTTACTGGGTTGAATGTATGAAACGCAATTCAGACTAGGTCATAACATAAGCTCGGTACATACATTTTGTTGATTTTATTTTGGTTCATTGTTCTTTAGTCA